AGGGGGGTTTGAAGATGATCAAAAAACACTGTACGAAATTCCTGAATCAATAAAAAAATATTTTTAAAAGTTTTCAGCACACTTTGGTCCAAACCACACAGAACTGAGCTCATCCTCCTTGGGTTGCAGTCTTCAATCAGGAGTTGAATCTCTCACCAGGCTCTTTGGTGCCCTTTATTAAGCTCATTTGAGATATCTGATCCTTAAGCATCAAAGGCCTCCACTTTATTGAATGAAAAGTTGTTAAATTATGTAAGATAGTAAGAAAGAGACCTTTAATTATTTTGGCAGGGGGGTAGGGAGGAGGAGAAAATGTTGTAGATGGAACCCAGGGTCTGGTGCATACAAGGCAAATTCTCTATCACTGAGCCACAGGTTAGCCCATGATCATCTTATAAAGTCATCTGGGTTTACTCAGTTTGACCTGACATATGGTAGGAGCCTAATAAATGTTTGTGAAAGTAAATCTATTCATTTAACAAGTCATGTTTTGGTAGATTGCACGATATTTTTAAGTTCTCATTCTCTCTCGGTCTCCCTCCCTTCCTCCTCTCTCTCTCTCTCTCTCTCTCTCTCTCTCTCTCCTCTCTCTCTCTCCCCCCCACCCCCCCATCTCACTGTGGCTGGCCGGGAACTCATATGCAGGCCAGGCTGGTCTCAAACTCATACAGTTCTGCTTGTCTCTGCTTCCAGACTGCTGGGATTAAAGGTATGTGCCACCATACCCGGCTTAAATTATCTCTTTAAAAAATCATATTTAAGGGGCTGGAGAGATGGCTCAGCAGTTAAAAGCACTGACTGCTCTTGCAAGAGGACCCGGGTTCAATTCCCAGCACCTACGTGGTGGCTACGAACCGTCCGTAACTCCAGTTCCAGGGGAAATCCGAAGCCCTCTTCTGACCTCTGCAGCATTGCACAACACAGGTGCACTCACATAAATGCAGATAATACACTCATACACATAAAATAAAAATAAGTACAATATTTTTTAAGAATTAATATTTAAGCACCACCAATACAAAAGGCTCCCAAAGAGACTTTTGCTTTTTAACCAAGAAACTTGAATTCAGAGTTATTCAGCATTCCCGTGCAGAAGTCATCAGCTTGAGCTGACCTGGGACTCTGTGGGATACTGAGACACGTCTCCCCAAGTTCACCAAGGAGCTCTGGTTCTCACATTACATAAATATTTTCTCCTAAACCAGGCAACCTCTCCATGCTAGTTTTTAATCTGTTCTCCATGTATTAAAAGAGCTGGTGTCCAGAGGTGAAACAGCACAGCTGTGATACTTTCACATCTTCTAAATCCCTAATGGCCCTTCCCTACTTCATTCAGCACTAGGGAAGAGGGAAGGAGTCAAAGAAACAAGTTTTGAAGAGGTCAAAGATCACCTCACATAGACACAGTCCTCCACTGGCAGCTTCTGCAGAGCAGTCTAAGAACAGGACCTAACTCCGCTGAGTCCCTCCATGGCTGTTTCCATGGGCTCTGAACAGCCCCACCTTCCTAGCCTACATCTCTCCATTGCTTTCACCATATTATTTTAGACATTCGAGTCACAGTCGAAATTAAAAACACTTTCTTGAAAACTCAAATTACAGGGTATACAACATTTCTTAATCAAGTGATTTTTTAATCAGTTTGACTACAAATTAAAATGTATAATTTCTTCTGTAGTTCAATTTTTATTTAAAAGAAGCTATTGATTCAAGCCCTAGAATCTATAGTTGAGTAAAAGAAAAATTTAACTAATATAAGATTATAGAAACATCGGATCAAATTTAAATCAACTGCTATCCAAGGAGTTTTGAAAAGGAATCAACAATTTAAGTGAAATTTTTATAGCTCTGACATGAAAATTTTTATTGCCATGGTTAGCAGAAGTTTTGTACATTACTGTCAATGTGGAAAGAATATATAAGTCAAAAAACATTTTCAAAAGCAGCAAGACAGTCGCTGCCAAAACTCAGACAATGGTTTCCCTACCAGCTTTAGCTCTTAAAATGAAGCAATCTTGTCAGTGATTGATTAAAACCAGAATTCTCAAGAGCTGATATAAATCATAACATCTAAAATGGATATCAATGACTTTTTCTAAATAATTCTAAATGCTGTAAGAATTCTTTCCTTTAAATCATCTGATTACATTTAGAAAATTCGATCAATTCGTATTTTAAACTGTCTACACAAACAGAGCGATCCTGTGTGATACCTTAAAACGAGGTGGGCAAACTCCTGTAAGCTGGTAGGGATCTAAAAGTACACCCACTGATGAGGCAACAAGCAAGAATTACAGGGCCACACACGCGCATGGCGCTCTGAAGCAGCTCAGTCACCGCACACGCAGGCATCCATCTATACGATATGCTGGGACCTTGCTCGGATAGAAGGGAGCCTAGAAACAGAAAAATACAGTCCCTACTCTCATAGAATTTATGGTCCAAAGGAGGAGAAAAGAGGATGATCAAACAATCACGCACAAATATGTGAAATGGACAGTTCCGAAGGGACCTATGGGATATGATGTGGTTAGGAAACAGGAGGAAAGGTGCTGCAGAGTAAAAGGCCATGGGAAGAACTTGGAACGGTATGAAAACCAGTGAGCATAAAGCACAAGTGTCAACAGGCAGACCTGCAAAACAGGGTCTCCATGCCATGGTAAGAATTTTGACTTCTATACAGACATCAATGATAAGATATCAAGTTACTCTCCTACAGTTCAGCTTCTGCCCCACTGTTTAACAGAGTTCTGGAGTTTTACTTAAGAGTAGTAAAACTGATTATAAAAAACAGAAGAGTCAGTCCATTTTCAAATGATAAACCTAAAGCTTAGGATAGAGCCACTAAGGTTCTTCAAGAATTGTACAGTTAATCTTTTTTAAAATTAAAAAAAAATTAAATATATTTTATTTATTATTTTTATCTTATGTATATGAGTGTATTGCCTGCATGTGTGTGAGTGCACCCATGTCATGCAATGCCTGTGGAAGTCAGAAGAGGGCTTCGGATTCCCCTGGAACTGGAATTAAGGACGGTTAGCAGGTGCTATATGGGTGCTGGGAATCAAGCCCAGGTTCTCTGCAAAAGTAGTCAGTGCTCTTAATCGCTGAGCCATCTCTCCAGCCCCAAGCAGCAGCTCAATTTTTGAGGCATTTCTTTCAAAATAATTTCACTTAATTTTTTTTGACATTTTTTGTCTATACGGTAAATTAGAATAAAAATAAAATGACCTAAATGTAGAAGTTACAAAACTTTTTAATTGAAGTTTTTCTATGAATGCAAGCTAAGCCTAATAGAAAGACAGGTCAGTATTAGAAACTTTGGGCAACAACGAACAACCAACATCAGGACATGATAATCACTGTTTCCTACCATGTTCACGCCACTTCTTTTTTCCAGTAGTATTCGAAACAAACTGGCTGTAATCTTATTATCATGTACGCCTTGCCCAAGGCCACGGTTGTCATCTTGCATAAGCCTTCGATCCAAGAAGACTTCAATTTGACCTAACAAACGAGCAAGCAAAACAATCTGACCAGGATTATTTTACGCAGATATTCACCAAGGACCAAGTATGTAGGAATGCAGAAGCCTTGCTTTGAACTTCCCCTCCAGTTGAAGGGGAAGGGTCTAGACACCCCACAAGGCAACGGACTTTCTTTATCAAAGCAGCTACTACAAATTCATAAAATAGGTATCGATTATTTATCAATGCTTTTCTTCGTTAATGTTTAGCAATCACTTCTTTGAGTCTTTTGAAGGGATACATCACATCACCACAATCCAGAAAAGACCCTAATTTTGAAGTACAACTTCACACTTTGGCAAACTTAGGCAAGCTGTCTAAATTTCTAGGGTTGAATTTTCACATCTGTAAATCATGACAACAACACAGATCTCTCATCACAATGGGCTAGCAGGAGAAGTAAATTACTGCTGTGATTTGTATATGTCTTCCAAAGCTTCATGAATTTGAGGTTTGGTCCCTAACTATTCAGGCAACTCAGAAGCTACTGGACCACAAGTTTCCAATTTCATCAATGGATTAACTCATCGATGAGTTCACAGCAGAAAAGGCTATCAGGAGTGAGGGAGGCCTATCTGAAGGAAGAAGGTCCCTGGCTGAATGGCTCAGTGTATCTTGCCCCTGTGTCTTCTCTCCTTCCTAACCATCATGATGCCAACTCACTCTAGCCCCAAAGAGAGAGTGAAGTTATTATGGCTGAAATACCTGAGACCATGAGCCACAGAGAATCTGTTTTATGTGAAGTTGTTGCAGGAATTTTGACACAAGGATGAAAAACTAACACAGAAAAAAACAACTGTGACATGGTATCTTAGTATACCTGTTCTCTGTCTGAAGACTGAGGAAATTCACCCTACAATGTGCTCATAAAACCCCAAGTTAACTACTGGTCTGGCTCTTAAAGGAAAGCGTAGGCTTTAATAGAGAAGGTAACTAATATATTTGACCATATATACACTTAAAATCAAGAGCTTCCAGAGCAGAAAATTAATACTTACCAGAAGTCATACTGGAAACACCTGAAGACTGAGCAGAGAGCAGTGTCAGCCGATGCGCAGCATCCTGGATGTATGTCATCGTGGTCATTGGATAGACATTGGCTTGAATAGGCAATTTGCTCATGGTCCTTCTAGGCTGAATCTATGAAACCAAACAATTTTCTTTTTATAAATGTGGTAATTACATATATGCTTTCATAAATCAGAATTATTTAGTATTGTATTCTCTTTTTCAAAGGTTTGAAAAAGACATAGCCTCACTTCTTTATCAAGCAAAGAAATAAAGAATTAAAACATTCCTTAAAACCAAATGAAGAAAAATCACAAGGATCTCAGAAGACAATTTTTAAATGGGAAAGGTAAAACTTGTCCAGATTTTAAAAACAGGCATTTCTATTTAAATTCAGAATAAAAAAAATGCCTAACAGAAGTCTTCTAGCTTTCCCACATTTGCATAAAACAAATTATAAAGGTATTAAGTATTCATTTCTCATTGAAATCTAGCATACTGCTTTAGTAATGAATGCTGAGCATAATAGCTCTCTATCCCCTTTCAAATTTTTTTCTCTTATTATTCTTAAATCACTTTTAATAAATACAACAGATCTCCCCACTAAATCCTCTAACATATTACATTATAATCAAGTGCATATTTATATTTAAAAACCATTGAATATTTACTCATGTTTAGTTTCCATCTAGATATTTCTAAATTCTAATACTTTTTAGCCTAGTATTTGAATGCATGAAATAGAATTTAACCTTTTAAGAAACTGATGGTATCTCAGAGCCATTCTATATCCTCAGGACCCAGTTTATCACTGAATCTTACTAATATCATTAAAAACTTATGAAAGTTTAACATGAAACTTTTCAGTAAAGGCATAAGGTTGGCAGAGTGGTTTACATGTACTGAGTACCTGTCAAGGGTAAAATGGTACCGACTGAGCACATCATAGATCTGATCGTTAATGCTTCCAATAACTCCTCATGATTTCCTACCACCTCCTAGTTGTACTGGGTCTCCCCAAAATGCATGTTTAACTATAACCTGTGAATTTGATCTTACTTTTGAGAAAAGAGTCTTTTCAGAAATTGACATGGTCCAAATACCCAGTGTCCTTATAAGAGGGAAATGTGGACAGAGAGACATACAGTGACAATGGGTGAACACCATGTAACAACAGAGGCAGAAGGTGGAGAGGCACTTCCACAAACCAAAGGATACTAGGAATCACACCCCAACCCCAAGACAGGAGAAGCTAGGTAGTAAGCCTTCACTAGGTCTTTGGAAGGAATGCCCTCCAGGGGAATGAAAGAAGAAAGTTCTGTTCTTTTAAGATACCCAGTTTGTGGTAATATAAATGTATGACAATCCTAGGAAATGAACACAGTGGTAAAAAGAAGGGAGGGGGAGGAGGGAGGGAGAGAAGGAAAGGGAAAAGAAGGAAAGCTACTTTCAAAGAACCCTTAATTCTTCTCATAAAGCTTCCCACCCTGGCTAGCTTGTATCTTCTGAAGTCATGAGAGGAGGTTTAAAGTTGCTTCCTTCCACCCCTGCCTATGAGTCCAGATTGGGCAGTTTTGCATAAATGCTACTCTTCCCACTGATTAAGAAATGGCTCATTTTAAGAAATATTTATAGATTGTGGACTTAATACGATCTTTATTCAAATGTCTTATCTTTGGGAAGAAAATGCACATTTTTGGTTATTCATCTTTTTACTGTTTCTTATTCATGTACACACCCACACATAAAAACAATAGCTTCTGTGAGATTTTAAGAAAGTTTTCTCTTTTGTATACAAAGAAAATGAATCACCATAAAGTCAGAGTTTCAGGCTTTTGGGCAGTAGTAGAATTAACATGTTAATCAGAATGTATGCTGCAATTTTTGTTTTTTGGAGGTTTAAATTTAACTTTTGCAGGAAATCATAGAAGAGAAAATTATTACAGACCTTTCTACTTACAGCCAGTTGAAAATCAGACAAAGTAAAAAGCATATGTTATGAAAATTAGTTCTATTCATAGCTGGGAATTTTTCAAATGCTAATGTTTCAAAAATAAATGCTCATATTTTTAGTAGTATTATTCCAAAGGCATGTTGTCACACATATATGCTCTAAATAATAGAGATTAAGTAACAAAGAGTTCTATTAAGTAGTGTTAAAAAGAATCACCAATTTAATTTTTTAATGAATGAATTAATTTTCTAACTATTGTTTATAACACTGTATGAAATTTTTTATTAAATAAATACCAGCCTCCATTTCTAAAGTAGACTGGCATGTATTTCTCTGTGCATATGCATGCTGTATAAATGTGCACACCCACTGGTAAGTAACAAAGAGTTCTATTAAGTAGTGTTAAAAAGAATCACCAATTTAATTTTTTAATGAATGAATTAATTTTCTAACTATTGTTTATAACACTGTATGAAATTTTTTATTAAATAAATACCAGCCTCCATTTCTAAAGTAGACTGGCATGTATTTCTCTGTGCATATGCATGCTGTATAAATGTGCACACCCACTGGATGTCAACAGAGGCAAAGAATTATCAGAAAACCTAAAAGAACCCATTATAACATCACATTCAAAAATACATAAGGAATAAATTAAATATACATATACCAATTCCCTATGAAGAAAAAATATATCTATCAATCCCTAATTGTTTCCTTTTTAGTACATTTATAAATTTTAGCATCAAAATATATAACATGGGTATGGTCATCAAATACTCCCTGTCTTAAAAAGTTTTTTCTTTAATTTATGTATATGTATGGGTGCCTTATGAGTTTATGTGCATCACATGCATGCATGTGCCCTCAGAGGCCAGAGGGTGCTGTATCCCCTGAATTCGAGTTAGTGACAATTGTGAGCTGCCCAGCATCAGTGCTGGGAACTGGGCCCATGTTCTCTATAAGAGTAATAAGTACTCTAAAATGCTGAGCCATCTCTCCAGCCCTTCAACTTTCCCTTTGGAAAAAACAAACTTTTAAAAATAGATGTTCTAAAAAAAAATGGCTCAAATATTTATTCTAACTTTGGAAATCTTTTTAACTATAGAACTTATAAATGTTTGTTAAAATTCAGTTTTATTCTAGAAATAATTTGCAACTTTAGGAATATTTTTCAAGTAATCCAAAATTAAATGTTCACACATGAACACATATATGTCATGCACACAGCACGTAAATATACACAGAAAAATTTGTACACTAATAAAACCAACACTTCGTGATTTTAGGGAAAATTACCTGGTATCCATTTAAGTCAGTGTAAAATCTATTTTGGTTGCTTATTTTAGATGAAATTCTCATTACAATCTCACGGTTATGTACATTTCGAATGTCCACAACATTAGAAACTTCCACAGATTGTCCTTCTATTCCTAAATTTAAAAGAATATATACATTACTAAAAAGCAATTACTGTTCCCACATTTCTCAAACATAGTATACAGAATGCCTTCCAAACTATGTATATTTCCCTCTTTTCTGATTCCTATCTTAACTACCCCTCTTGTATGAAATGGTGTTACAATTTGTGTTACAATTTTTCTTTTTTGACATCAGACTGCAGACAGTATTTATTCAGGAACACATACAATTCCACAAAAGGATGAAGGGGTTGGGACAAGATAAAGGCAGATGACACACAATATGATGTGGAGGCCACAGTGAGTTCTAAGGGGAAGGAGGACATGAACTAAGAGATCAGGACCTTGAGAGACAGCCCTCTCTCACTCGCACCACTCCCCCCAACAGAGATATCACAGCCCCTCTCTCCACCATCCTTTCCTGATACACTAGAAATTAGGAGCCACTGAGTTTACACTTCGCTGGTTCAAGAGACAGTGGATTACTGCCCACAGTCTACTTTTAGGAAAGGAGATGGAAATCCCATGAGCTGATTTATGGCTGAAACCAACTTTAACATACTAGTATTTGTGGGTTACAATCTGGAGAGTGCCTTAGAAGTTAAATCAATTTTAACTGAGTTTCACGTCCTTGTTATGGTATGATCCATTCTTCCTTTTGCTTCATAAAACACAAGACACTAAAGTTACTACTTAAAAAAAAGAAGCCTTCTAGACAAGCCTAGTGTCTAGCATCTGTCACTCTACCTTACTGTACTGGCAGGTCCTCAGGGTCAATTTCAGAGATGGAGAGAGTTGTGAAGAAATTCAACAAAATACAGATGGCTTGCACAGCAGGAGAGCTACTACAGGTAAGAGGGCAGAAGAGACTCTATCCTACGATATTTCTTTTTTAAATTTTTTTAAATTTATTATTTTTATTTTATGTGTATTAGTATATTGCCCGCATGTATGTGAGAGCACCCATGTCATGCAATGCCACGGAGGTTAGAAGAGGGCTTCAGATTCCCCTGGAACTGGAGTTAAGGACGGTTCATAGCGGCCATGTGGGTGCTGGGAATTGAACCTGGGTCTTCTGCAAGAGCAGTCAGTGCTCTTAACCACTGAGCCATCTCTCCTGCCCCTATCCTATGATATTTCACAAAGCTGATGCCTTTTGAAGTTGTGAGGATCCTGGGAACATATATATGTCCCCCTTCCCCTTTCTCACACTGTTCTACTGTACTGACAACCAGCAAACTCTTTAACTGGGGGTTGTATAAAGAAGAATGGGGAGAGGAGGAACAGAGCAAAGAAGACATTTTTCCTCCTAGGAACAGAAAGAATCCCCAGTGCTTACAGAATGTGTCAAACAGTCACAGAAAGGAAGACTGAGTCTGTGGTGTTTGTGGAAAAGGATGCATACTGCTATGCTAGTTCAGGCACTACAGGTTTCCGTGGGAAGCATACTGGAAATTATAAAATATAAATAATAACATGGTGCTGAACAATAGTAAATGGGCTGAAGTCTCCATCACAAAACCCATGGAAAGCTCAGACTGCCTCCTTGGCACATTAAACTACTGTATCTGGTAGCAGCTTAAATTTCCTATGTGTTCACAAAACCATGGAATACAATTACTAAGGATGGAAAAAGAAGGATGCCTATTTTTTTTTTTTTTTTTTTTTTTTAATGGCCACAATCAAAGTTAGGGACCTGCCAGCCAGGTTAAAAGAAAAAGCACCAACCACCACCACCAGGTTAAATAAAAAATTCACATAGTACAACACAATCGTCCTTGAACGAGGATACGTTTCTCGGAATGCAAACATTAGTTTTACTATGTTTACATTAGTCAGAATGTTTTCAATCCAAAATGAAATGCACATGGAATATTAATGACACCCAAAACACAAAACGTAGGTCTTGGGTTGTAGCTCAGTGATAGAGCATGGACTTAACGTATGAGTGGGCTGGGTTTAATCCCCAGCACCCAAACCCTCAAAATGAGGGAAAGCAACAGAAATGACGGTTCACATAGAGCACTGAGGACAGCAAAGGCGATGACAAGAAGTTAACTCTAATTTACTGGGAGTATTCGTAGGATCTTTCATAGTGTTTTATCTTTTCTTCTCTCTAGATTAGATATTCTCTCAGGGGTCAACAGAATGCATGAAATGAAATGAAGTCTTAACAAGAGACATCATCATTAATTTCAATTCATGTCTCTCCAGAAAACATTTACAAAGAGCATGCTTCAAGGAAAAAATTAATAATTTCACATTACCTCTGGCAATGATAAATTATTCCATTGAGAAAGTCATCTTTCTCAAGCCCCATATTATGCTCAGCTCCTGTTGTGGCAACAAATGCTTTAAGCTCCATAAAAGGAGCTTTATGTTCATTCACCAATTGGCAAGGCATTAATTTAAATTCTGAGCCGGGACACACTTCTAAAATAAGATCAAACTTAGTACGCCATTATAAACAAACCAAATAAAAGTTGTAATTGCTGAGAAAGCAAGGAGATATACCTGAGTCTCAGAGGGATTGTATTATTCCCTAAAGATTGGTATGTGTGAGTGCCACGGAAGATTGCCAACTTTTCCTTTTCTTTGTCAAGAATTCCCTGAGTGCGTCCCTGGGAGCAGGGTACAGACCACTGGCCATGCCTGCTGGTTCTCTGCAGGAAGTGGCAGCAATATAGTTACTTTTACCAAAGCATTTCTCTCTGGCTTGGGTAGCTAGGGCTTTCTGGGTCCTTCTAGGTTTTTCTGTAATCTTGGGAAATAAAAATGGCTACTAATGTACAAGGTTAGTCCTGTAAGGAGAAGAGGGAGACCACAACTGGGTTGCAACACTAAGAAATAATTACTTATTCTTACTGCTAATATCATCCTCTTAGTGCACAGAGAATGGAGAGTGTGTAGGTGTTTATCCTTATTAACACAATGAAAGATTAAATAGAGTTCACAGCAAAAACTTGTGCAAAAAAAAATTAAATAAAATAAAGAGGACAAGAATGTTCTGTTCTTCAAATGCGGCATATTCGAGCAGCACCCCTGGAGCTAGGGTGGTTGGAGTTTCCTCTCCCCAGTCTACTGGCTTCTTGTAGACTGTTTCTCACACCGTCTTTACATTCTTGTTCTAACATTTGGGTACACAGTAATTGCTACATCACTGCTAAAGAGAAATAGCTAAGAAGCCCATCCTTCACCGCACAGAAACAAGCTAATATGTCCTGTGACGAAGCTGAAGCAGCTGAAAAGATGAAGGAATAAAAATTTTTGTTATGCGCAATCATGTGTGTGTTAGAAATTACCCTCGTAGAGGACAGCACACCAGCATACTGCAAATGTCTCCCAAGTGAAGGGTGGAAGCTAAAGGGCAGAGAGGGCCAACAGACACTGACACTGATGACTGGGCACAATACCTGTGCGCTCCACATAAAACTCATTTAATTCTGATCCTAAATCTCAGAGGAAATTACCTGCTAAAGGTCCCAAGCCTGGCAGCCCCAGGGCTAACCTCTCAACAACCATGCCTCCCTAGCAGACCCATAACTGGAGAAAGCTGAAGTTACCTGGGACTAAGTTCTCGGCAAAGCCTTGCAGTAATGAGTAGACCGATCTTCAGCTATGAGGTGGGGAGAGTAGGAGATGGGTAAAGAGAAAGGCAGGAGGGAAATGGGGAGGAGGGAAGAGGGAGACAGCAAGGGAGGGAGATTCTGAACTGATAGGTGCAAGAGCTACTGCAGTAAAATATAATTAAGGGACCATGTCTGACAGCACCTAAGCCTCTTTATAAAACAACCCCAGACCCTGGTTTTAAATGGTACTCTTACTTTTGAAGCCAAGAAAGTATTAAAAGTCCCAAACGCAGGCTCTGTTCCTCAGCAGTTCCGTCTCACTGTACTACTCTCAAACTTGGCCAAATGGCCAGGAACGGCTTCTCCTGGGTCGTATGAACAGAGCTGTCAGCACAGGAAGTAAGCATGTGCCTCTCCTCTGCTTACTGTTACTCAGAGGGAAACCTTCTAGATGTTCACCAATAAGGAAATGACTAGATAAACGGGGTGTCGGCATGCCATGGAATGCAGTGCAGCACATGAAAAGATGGAGGTAGCTGTCTATCCTGGCAGAAAACGCCCCCAAGAAAACTAGCTCATGTACAGTATTATGCGCTTTATGCTGAGAGCGACACAAACACAGTGCTGTGCATTTCTAGAGGAACGTGCACATACCTGCACTACTACTTCTGAAGTGAATGGGGCAGACAGATACCAGAGGGGCTTTACCTTACATCTGCAATGTGTGAAATGTGGCCAAAGAGTATACATGTGCTATTTGTATTTGTGAAAATAATTTTAAGCACTTGAAAAGAAAGAATACTTTCTTAGATGTCAAGAAGAAATGAAACCAAGTAGATGACCCTCAAGAGGCTGGGTCACATCACAAGCTCAGGAGCACAGCAACTTCAGACTTATAAAGATGCTGGGGTCTTCAAACCCTCAGATCAACAGAACAGGTAAGAAGAACAGGGGCAAGAGAGAAAAAGCATCACCTACTTGAAGCACAGAGCAAAGTTAGAGACCATCCTGTCTATGCCCTGGGTCTGAAAGGTGAGTCAGGACAACATCCAGGGATGGTATTAAGGATTCTATGCCAAGTGGGAAGGTCCTAGTTCTGACCAGTAAAAATGAAGGTGACCTCTAGTGAACTCCCCACATCACTTCATTTGTACTACTTACTGTGTGTGTCATCACCCTCTCTCCATGCTCCACCCCCACCCTCACCCCCACCCCTGTCATATCTTTGTTAAAGCTACCTAGAACATCCTAGCTTCATCCTGAACTGCAGAACTCAGCATTGGCCATCTCCACTTCTCTCCAGATCATCAAATTCTAACAGTTCTGAAATTCGGAGTATACTTTTTTCAAGGAATATACGCTGATATAGAAATCAGAAGAAAGAACTTGATATAAAGCATAAGAGTTACTTGTCACCAAGAACCTAGTATCTATTAGTGGCCC